TTTTTGGTCTTTTTGAGACAGGATCTCACTACGCAGTTCAGGCTGGCCTTGAGCTCACTTTGTAGCCCAGGCTGGTCTTGAACTCACAGTGATCCTCCTGCCTCAGCCTCCCGAGTGCTGGGATTACAGGCATGCACCACCACACCTGGCCATTCCAAATATTTTGATTATGTGAAATATGCTGTGTAGTTTAGGCTGGTCTAGCTGAGGCCAGCCTTAAACTCATGGCGGTCCTCCTTCCTCAGCCTTCTGAGTGCTGGGACTACAGGTGTGTACCATCATACCTAACTAGTCATGCTATTTAAGAGTCACATCTAAAATACTTGGCAAAAAAAAAAAAAAAAAAAAAAAATCTCTTGCCAGGAATATAGCTCAGCAGCACAGCACCTGCCTGGCAAGCACAAGGTCCTGAGTTTGATTCCTCGTACCAGAAAAAAAATACTTGGCCAGTGACCCTATTTAATTGGGTATGATTCAGATCTGAAGGACTACTGATTCTGCATACCAGATTCCCTGGAAAAAGAGATAACGGGCTACAGCTGAGTACATTTTATTTTTTTCTTTTTTTGAGACAGGGTCTTGCTATGCAGTTCAGGCTGCCCTTGATCTCAACTGTATAGCCCAGGCTAGCCTCAAACTCACAAGGATTCTCTTGCCTCAGCCTCTGGAGTGCTGGAATTACAGGTGTGTGCCACTACCCCCAGCTCGCAGGTAAACTTTTAACTCACTACCAAGATTTAAGAACAAAAGTAACAGCCTTTAGAGTTATCTGAAAGGTTTTCAAAAAAATTTATTTTCATAAATTAACACACATAACAGTGGGTATTGTAGAGTCACAAACTACCAAACAAAAAAAGGAACTGCAGGGGCATCGCGTATGCCAATGTTAGCAAAAAATGTACAAATTTCACTGAACTACTGACCGTGGTAATATAGAAACACTTCAGGCAGCTATTTACTGGCCCAGATCCCAGTTCAAGATGTGGAGGTCTCTCACTGAGAATTCAAACATAATTCAGCACCACCGAGGGGCTTGCGCAGTTAACAAGCATCAAATCTTAGTGTGCCATGTCGGACGGTGAGCTACCCAGCGACCCCCTCAGTTCACAATCAAGATCCCTTTGGCTGCTTAAGGTGTTTAGATAGTAACATTAATGTGATTTCAGCAAAATGAAGTCTCTTTCCTTAGTCAGTTTTATATAGAAGTTCAGTTCAGTCAAGGAGCCCTCTCCCTACATGAATCCAGGCAAGGATACTCTGTACCTTGGGCCAATTCTTTGCCTTTTTGAGACAGGGTCTCGCTATGCAGTTCAGCTGGCTTTGAGCTCACTCTGTACCCCAGGCTGGCATCAAACTCACAGAAATCCTCCTGCCTCAGCCTCCCGAGTGCTGGGATTACAGGTGTGCGCCACCACGCCTGGCCTAAGGGCCAATTCTTTGCACTTTGGATACAGCCACCCACAATGTGGTTATTTAAGAGGTCCTTTCCAAAGGAAAAGCTTACAGAAAGAAAACAAGGGTATTAAAGAGAGCACCAACTGCACACTTCTCAGGTAATGGGCAAAATGTATCACTGCCTAAAAGTTGATCTTCTGTGGATCTTAATGTGCACGGTACAGATGGTGAGATGGAACCTCGGCTTGGAGCTGGAGTGATGGCTCTGCAACCACTGGCTGCACTGCAGTCTTGGACCGGCTGCCGCAGTCCTACACCCTTGCTGCTCCCCTCAGCCTGGCGGGCAGGGGGCCAGCCATGGCCATGTCCAGAGTGGGATCTGACATTAACTAGTGCCCACACAAAGGACCCTTTCAGGCAAAATTGTGACAAAGTATCATGATTTTCACAGCTCTTGGAGGGGCACTGAGTTTTGGGATTCACAGCATGAGTTTCTGAGCTCTTTGGGCTCGGAGTAAGGCAAACGTTACCGTCTTTCCACCGCACCTCTCAGCTGTGGTTCACTAAGGTGAACACGGTGCTTGAACAGGTGACGAGGTACCTTCAAACTAAGGGAGAAACAGAGCTGGAAAGGAGACTAAGGGAAGGAAAACAGAAAGCGGAGAAGGGACATGGCAGAGGAGGTCACTATGGCTAGAAACTGAAAGGCGGAAAAGGAGATGGGCGGAACCCTGGTTGGACCTGAGATTTCTCCTCTTTTCCCATAAATACTAAAATACTAGACTTCTGGAGGTGAGTTACGGTCGAGTCATTTGCCGTTAAAGGTAATGTCCCACCACATGGGGTGAGAACTCCCCCTTCTCAGAAGTGGTACCAACTCCCACCACGAAACGTGCATCCTACACCCGGGGGATGTGTGGGGGGTTGAAAGGCCGCAGGTTCTGAGGACCACTGACAGCCTCGAGGCTGGTCAGGTCAGTGGTGGAGCTGGGTGTGAAGATAGGTGTGGCTGAGTGTGGCTGGAGCCCGATGTACCAACTACGTGTAACTGCAAGTCTGCAGTGAGGCACCTCAGCTGTGCAGCAGAAAGGCCCTCCCCAGAGCGTAGGCCACGAATTTCAAGCACAGGCAAAGCTGGCCTTCCAGCAGCTTCCCCACCACATTCCCAGGATGAGGAAGAAGCCAGGTCTCTGTTCCTCTCGTCCTTCACTCTAGGTACCAATCAGTGTTCCAGGCCTTTCAGGAACCACACCTATGATGAAACCACACCTAGCTTGAAACTGTGTGTCACGCTGGTGGTCCCACTGCGCTGGGTGACGTGGCTGCCACACTGCTGCCTTGGCTACAGTGGCAATGGAGCAGGCAAAGGGGACTTTGTTAATGCACGGCTACTTTGCAGGAGCCCTCTAAACGTGTTTGTACAAGGGTACAACGTATTATCCATTCAGCAAAATGACAGAGAGAAGTACTGACCGTCTAAGATCCCTGCCCCAGGGGGAGATGCTGAGGTGAGACACGTCGCATCCGTATGGTCTGGGCAAAATACTGCAGAATAGCAAACTCTGGCAGCATCACTCAGAGCCAGGGAGGAAACCTGACGCTTTTCTGTGGGCCGTGGCCTTAGAAGCCTTGCTGGCTGACCAAGTGTGTATTTCATTTATCTAAATCCCGCCTCTGAGGTGGCAAGCCTGGAAGATAAACATGGCACTTCCACCACTCCCTCCCTCTCTGTGTATGTCAGTTTTTCTGCTCCACTGTGGTACGGACTATCAACCTGTAAAGGAAAGGCACCGAGTGACCCACATCCCATCTCTCCACCAACACGGGGGAGCAAAAGAATCCCAGAAGAGTCAGCCAAGCACTCCAAGGCGGCACCACAAACTCTTCTGAACAGACTGGGAATTGTCCCTGGAACTTGATAGTTTCATCATCAGCTGCTTTACGGTGGTGGCCCCTAGGAGGATGGGAAGAGGGGACCAGTGTCCCTCGGCTGACTCCAGCATCCTACTCACCAGCCAAGGAATATTAACTCTGAATTCTGACTTTAAAAGGCAGAAAGGAAGAAGAAAAAGAAACTGCAATGGAAGGAGTGGAGGAGTAAGGGAGCAAGGGCACACAGGGAATCGGTGGGAAAGAAAGGAGACCTCTGGGCCTGGTGCCCACATCGTATCCTGCTGTCCGCAGAGTCCAGCAGACACAGAGCCAGAAACTGAGCTATTTCTGGCATTTGACAGTACTTCCAGTCGGTCTGACGCAGGACCAGAGTATATGAGGTACCCTCGGAGAGGTCTGGCTGTAGAATTTCAGGATCCCACTCCAAAAATACATCACTGGGTCTGCACTGCTACCCTGACTTTCCCCCGACTCCCACAGTAAGCTGCTTGAATAGCTGAAGACCTTCTAGGTTGGCCTCTGATACTATCTGAGCCGGTGTACCCAACTTTGCCACACACTAACATTTCAGATGAAAGCACACTCAACCTTCGAGTTTTTTAAGTGATCATGAGAGAAATCTGCCCTTAATTATGCCATTAAAATAAATGTGTACTTCGTAGGCAGGAGTAAGAACCCAGATTAAAAAAGAAAGTGCTCCCTCTAATCAACTACTCTAGAAGTTAGAGATGGAGAGGAACTGAGTTAAACACATGAATGGGAAATATGTCTTCCATGCACCAGTCAGCTGGGTTGAATGCCTATCATGTATTCTCTTAAGACATGTATTGTCTTTCTCCTTAATTTCTTAAAAAATTGTTTTAAAATCACATTTAAAGGCCCCAAACATGCAGCAGTAACACGCACACACATACACACGCACACACACATATGAAAAATGAAATAAAATGAAAATAATCAACATCACAACATTAGAAAGTGCAACTTACTTTGATTGGGGCCTGGACGGGCTCCTCTGGCACTAGTGACCCATAGTCACAGAGGGGAGAAAACAAGAGGGAAAAGCCACACACATACACACACACTCACAGTAACAGGTTCTGGGCAGACAGACTCAAAAGAATTAGAAAATACAACAGCTCATCTTTTCTCCACTACTGAAATGAGCTGGTTATTCCACACAGGACAGGAAGCCAGGTCCCCTTCCCTGGACCATGTTTCTAGGTCATCTTGGTCTAGCACCACCGTAAACAAAGCAGAACTTTCATGTGGACGTGCAAAGGCTCTGAGTCATTGGAATTTTAGTGTTGCGTAAGATACGTGGCTTCTCCCTCCTGTGGATGGCAGACATAAGGAAGAGGCGGCCAGACGTCATTTGGGACCATTTCCAGGAGAAAGAGAGCATTCCTGAGGTTCTATACTCAGCAGTAGAAACACAGGACCCTCCATCACCAGTTCCTAAAAAGGCTGCACCTTGAAATAGGTAAAAATTCTTGGACTGGGCATCTTGAGTAGTTTGGACACAGGGCAAAGTCAGGCAACCTCTTTCAGGGAGGTCTGGAAAGAGCCAAGATTGAGACCCAACCACGCTGCTCCTCAACAGCCTGATGACTGTTGCTGTTCCTCTTCCTTGGCAAAGAAGGTCTCCAGCTCCATCAGTTTCTGTACCAAGCGAGCATCCAGTTCTCGACTCTGCAGAGCTGCCTTCTGCGCCCTGGTAAAGCTGCCACCCAGCTGGACTTTACCTCGCGCTCTCCTCTTTCGCGGGACCGTAAAATCCTGAAATTCTAGAACTCGCTTCCTCTTCTGTTGGCTGACTGAGATTAGCGTACCATTTCGTTCCTTGGGTTCCTCAAATATGGTCTCTAGACACCTGAGGTTGGAGCACAAAACAGAATCATAACAGACTGATTCACACAGCTCGCAAACACTTCTAGTCAACAGGGGCTGAAAGCTACCGCATCAGCAAGTCCTTACTCAAATGCTTATGAAATATCTGTATGTGTACAAATGGAAAGAAATCCAAATTGGATGAAGTGTACAGAGCAGAAGGGACACTACCCCCGCCCCCACCACCACCACAAGCAACACTAGTAATGTATTTTTTGTGTATCCTCTGCAAAGTTATTCAATGTATAGACATATATAAATAATGATATTATGGATTGGTCCTTTACAGAAAAGACACTAAATGTTTTAAACTTTATGAGTCATCTAGCTCTTTACTGCAAATTTTTTTCCTCCTCTGTCCTTTTTTTTAAGCACCAAAAAGTGCAAAAACCACTATGAGCTTATAGGACAAAGAAATTAAAAAAAAAAAAAAAAATCACAATCAAAAGGAAGGGCAGACTTTGTAGCATCTGCCTGCAAATCTAACTACTTGGGAAAATCAAGCAGGTAGGCCCCTTGAGCCCAGGAGCTCAGGATCAGCAGGGACAACACTGTGAGACCAGGCGAACGGCAGTTATCCCAGCTACTGGGGAGGCTGACATGGAAAGATCAAGAGTTCAAGGCTAGCCTAGGAGGCTAAGGCAGGAGAATCATTGTGAGCTTGAGGACAGCCTGGGCTACAAAGTGAGTTCAAGGCCAGTCTGAACTGCATAGTGAGTCCCTGTCTCAAAAAAAGACGCACCCCCCCCCCCCAAAAAGGTTAGCCTGGGGAACATAGCAAGACTGCATCTCAAAAACCAAAAAACATGCCAGGTGTGGCAGTTTGGGCCTATAGTCCTGTATATCTGGAAAACTGAAGCAGGAGGATTGCAAGTCTAAGGCCAGCAAAACCCTTTTACAAAATAAAATTAAAAAGGCTGAACATGTGGTTCAGCACTAAAAAGCCTTTGGATTCATCAACAAACAAACAGTTTCTGGATAGATTTGGCCTACAATTTATTAACTCATGGTATATATCTCAAATAGTAGTAAATTATATACACTGTCCTACATACTGGGCTTCTCCGACCTATCAATAACCTTTCAATTTGTTGCAATTTGCACAAAGGTTTCTGATTGATTTAATGGGTACATAGTGTATTCTTTTATAAGGATGGACCAAAATTTAATAAGAACTCCAGAAATAGATATTTTGGATTGTTTCTAATTCTTTCCTATTATTTAACAATGCTGCCAAAATAAAATCTAGCACAAAATCCTAGAACTCTTCCTACATCCTAAACAATCACTTAATAAATGTCATCAATTTGAATTCAAATTGGTCACTTACAGATGATCAAGTGAACTGTTTCTATATTTCGGTTTGGAACTACGTTTGAGGATCACGTTTTTTTTTTTTTCCCCGGTACCGGGAATTGAACTCACAACCTTGCGCTTGCCAGGCAGGCACTGTGCCACTGAGCTAAATCTCCAGCACTCTAATGATTATCAGGCTAACAGAAGCCAGCCAGCATACCCAGTAAAAACACAAATACCAACAAAAATGAGACTTTCTGTGTCCACCTAACGCTACGCACACTTCTTTCCTGTCCTATCACCAACTCTCCTAGTCAAGTGCTGGCAGTTAAAAACACCAATTCTAGTTATTCCAAAGACACAATATCTGTAAAAATGAATATATACTCTGTTTTGAAGTGAAAGGACTAGAGATTGACACCAACAATTGCACAGTTCTTCTCTTTCATTTCCCAGCCGCATATACTTACCTATTTGCAGGAGGAGACTTATAATTTTTGTTGGTATATATTTCTTCTAAACTAAATTCCTTTTTCTTTAACCTGAAAAGAGAAATAAATTCTTCAGGCTCTCTAAACAAGTGCAGACTTGTTTCCCAACCCTACCCTTTTTATTATTTTATTCTCAACTTTACTATAATAAGACATGGATTTTATGAGAATACATACTAGGTTTTCTTTCTTGCCTGGAAACCTTCAACTTCATAAAATTTAGTCCATTCACAGAATTACCAGAAATGATATATTTGGGTTTAGATCTATTACTTCATTTTATAGCTTCTCTGTGCAATCTTCTCAGTCCTTCCTTCCTTCCTCCTTCCCTCTCTTCCTTCTGTTCTTCCTGAGACATGGTTTTGCTATATAGCCAAGGCTGGCCTTGAACTCATGGCAATCCTCTGCCTCAGCCTCGCAAGTGCTGGGATTACAGGCATACACCACACCTGGCTTCAGTTTTTCTAAATTTTTTCTTCTTTTTTCTTTTGTGATGCTGAAGATAGAACCCAGGACTCATACATGCTAGGCAGGCACTCTATTATGAGCTACATTCATTTTTATTCCCTTCTCCTGGCTTGGGAAGTATATATACTCTTTCAGTAGTTGGCAAAAATTTTAATGAGCAGATTAAACTTATGAAGTGAATCAATAGTTTTACTCTTCTCCTGAACAATACAAAGTCCCTAGATCTTTTAACTCAGATCAATACTGTCTACACTGGGTGTGGTGGCACACATCTGTAATCTCAGCACTTGGGAGGCTGAGGCAGAAGAGTTACCACAAGTTTGAGGCTGGCCTGGGGTACACAGTGAGTTCAGGACCAGCCTGGAATACAGAATGGGACCCCATGTTAGAAAAAAAAAAGTGCACACACCAGCAGTTGTTTTGACTCACTCCTACACTCATCACCTGGTAACCGTGGACCTATTTTCTGCTCCTAAAGCTTTGCCTATTCTAGGCATTTCATATACATGAAATCATACACTGTGCACCCTTTTGAGTCTTGCTTCATAAAAAAGTTGATACTGGTACATGCAGGTAGATACATCTTTCTATCTTGATCACTTGCAGTCTCCTGTTTGCTCCTGCCTACCTTCCCCTTCCCACTATTCCAGACAGTCTGCCTTTATTTTTACTCTTTAATGTATTTATAATTGGGTTTCTCATATAAGAGAAATGACGTGATAATTTAACTTTCTGTGTCTGGCTTATTTCACTTAGCATTATGGCCTCAAGATACATCCATTTTCCTATAAAGGACATGAATTCATCCTTTATGGCTGAATATAGTCTACAGGACACGTTTTCTTCATGCATTTGCTCACGGATGGGGACCGAGGCTGTCTCCTGAACTTAGCTGGTGGTACTGCCAACTGTGCTGCTGCAACAGCCTTGCTTCTTTCTTTCAGCGTACTGTTTCCACGGCTAGCCCATGTTGTATTCTGTTTCAGTACTTCATTCCTCTTCATACAAAACAATATTCCTTTATTTATTTACTTATGTTCCTCCTCAAGCCCTACACTTTTCTTTTTCCTAAATACTTCTATTTGTAGAAATGCAGATCACTTACCAAGGAGAATCAACTTTCACAGATCAGTGTCCTCCACTTTCTCTCAAAATCCCCCTCTAATCTTTTTTTTGCCGGGGGGGGGATCTTTTTGAGACAGGGTCTCGCTATGCAGTTCAGGCTGGCCTTGAGCTCACTTTGTAGCCCAGGCTGGCCTCAACTCCCTGTGATCCTCTTGCCTCATCTTCTGAGTTCTGGGATTATAAGGGTGCACCACCACACCTGGTTTAATGATACTCCACTAAGGATATGCCACCTTTTCTTTATCCATTCACCAGGTGATAAACATATGAGCTGTATCTACTTTTTAACTATTATGAATAGTGCTCCTACAAGTGTTTGTGTACAAGTATGTTTTTGATTCTCTTGAATATATCCAAAAGAATTGAAGCCAATATAGTAACTTTAAGTTATTAAGTTGTATCTGTTTATTTTGGGTACCAAGAATTGAACCTAGGACCTTAAGTGCTGTGCCACTGAGCTACAACCCTGGTCCAATAAGTTATATTGTAACACCTTCAAAGCAAATGAACTTTCACAAATTCTGACACTGGGTGCATGAAAAGATGTCTCCATGAGAATTAATAGGCACAAGCTGAACTTTTTTGTGGATTTGTGGCCTGGATCCATGCTACCTGGACAGATTAAAAAAGACTTTAAATCAGGATTTAGTTTACAGTGGTTCTGACTTGGTAGTGGTTGTTGTCCTATTCAGAGTTGGGGAGGGAGAAACATACAAATTTATTTTTGGTTCTTTCTTTATCTTTTATGTGCAACTTATGCTGAATTAATTCTCAAGACATGAGTCTTTGTTTCTCCAGCTTCTTCTGTGTAACCTCCTCTTCTGCTTTAGGAATAGTTTGTTCCTTTTCAGTAAGGGTCCTCTCAATGTGTCAGGGAGAGCTCATGTGTGAGTTAATCCAACCAGGTGCTCTGAGTATGGCAGTGCCTCCAGCATGGGTATGCATACATTGTTATGGTATGATGCTTTTAATTCTTCCAGGAAGATTCCAAGAAGGGGAATAACTAGGTTGAATGGAACCTCCAGTTACAGTTTTTTGAGGAATCTCCACACTGATTTCCATAGTGGTTGCAGCAACAGTCCACACTCCCACCAAAACAGGAGAAGGGTTCCTTTTTGCCCACAGCCTTGCCAGCATTTGTTAATGGCTGTTTTCTTTTTCCTTTCTTTTTCTTGAGGCAGGGTCTTGCTATATAACCCAGGCTGGCCTCAAACTCATGGCGATCCTCCTGCCTCAGCCTTCTGAGTGCTAGGATTACAGGCGTGCACTATCATGCCTGGCAGTTGATTTCTTGATAATAGCCATTCTTTCTGGAATGAGATGGAATCTCAGCTTTGTTTTAATTTACATCTTTCACCCGGCGTGGTGGTGCATGCCTGTAATGCCAGCACTTGGGAGGCTGAGGCAGGAGGATCACCGTGAGGTCGAGGCCAGCCTGGGCTACAAAGTGAGCTCAAGGTCAGCCTGAACTGCATCACGAGACCCTGTCTCAAAAAAGACAAAACAAACACAAAAATTTACATCTTTCAACCAGTGATGTTGAACAGTTTTTCATGTATTTATTTGCTGTTTCTACCTTTTTATCTGAGCAGTATGTATTCATTTCAGATGCTCATTTTTGGATTGAGTCTTTAAATCGGGGGGGCTGATTTTTAAAAATTTCTTTATAGATTCTAGATATTAGCCCTTTTTCTGAGAAACAGCTGGCAAAGTTTTTTTTCCCATAATGTGGGTTGTTTCTTCATTCTATTGGAGGTTTGCTTTGCTGTGCAAAAGCTTTTCAGTATGGTAAGATCCCAGTTGTTGACTCTTGTAATATTTCCTGTATGAATGGGGTTTTGTTCATAAAGTCTTTGCCTACACCAGTGTCTTCAAGAGTTCTACCTAGTCTATCTTCCAGTAGATTTAGTGTTTGTTTTAATACTTTAACACGAGGTCTTTTCTGAGTAACTAATTTAAAGATAACAATATGCAATGTATTAACCATTGTTACCCTCCTATTATCTTGTTTTGAAATTTTTATTTTTTTTCTCTTTAAAAAAATAGTATTTAGGTCTTTGATCTATTTCAATTTTAGTTTAGTGCATAGTGAGAGATATGGGTCTAGGTTTAATCTTCAGCATGTGCATAGCCAGTTTTTCCAACACTATTTATTTATTTTTGTCTTTTTGAGACAGGGTCTCACTATGCAGTTCAAGGGGGCCTGGAACTCACTTTGTAGCCCAGGCTGACCTCAAATTCACAACGATCCTCCTGCTTCAGGCTCTCAAGTGCTGGGATTACAGGCATGCATCACCACCCCTTGCTCTGCCAGCACCATTTATTTATTTATTTTATTTTTTTTGTTTTTCTCTGGTACCGGGAACCGAACTCACGACCTTGTGCTTGCCAGGCAAGCGCTTTTGCCGCTGAGCTAAATCCCCAGCCCCCTAGCACCATTTATTAAAGAGGCTATCTTTCTTCCAGTTTTTGGCACTTTTGTCACAGATAAGGTGGCTAGGTACGTCCGGAGTTACTTCATCTTCTAATCTGTTTCATGGAGCCTTGGGTCTGTTTTTTGCCAGGACCATGCTATTTTTATCCCAGTGGCTTTGTAGTATAATTTTAAGTCAGGGATTGTGATGCCTCCTTCCTTACCTTTGCTGCCCAGAATTGCTTTTGCTGCTCTAAATCTCTTCTGGTTCCAAATGAATTTTAGGATTTTCTTTAAATCTATGAGGTATACTATTGGTATTTTGATTGGGACTGCATTAAATCTATGTAATAATTTTGGAAGTATAGCCATTTTCACTACATTGTTTTTTTGTCCCCAAGAACAAGGAATATCTTTCCATTTTCTGATATCCTCTTTGAGCTCCTTTTTCAGAGTACTGTACTTTTCAATGTAAAGGTCTTTTACTTATTTTGTTAAATTGATTCCTAGGCATTTCATTTTTGGGATGCTATCATGAAAAGTGCTGTTTCCCTAATTTCTCTCTCAGTGAGTTTGTTATTTGTGTACAAGAGTGCTACTAATTTTTGAGTGCTAACTTTATATCCAGCCACCCTACTACTTGTTTCTAAGAGAATAGTGAGCAGGGCACCTTTACCACAGTGCTTCTACCCCACATATGCCTCTACTGAAAATGGTAACTGAAAGCCACGGCTGTAAAGGTTTAAAAGTCCTAGGTCTGGGGGCTGGGAATGTAGCTGAGTAGTACAAGATGTGCTCAGCATGCACAAGGCCCTGAGTATAACCCCAAGCACACAAACAGAAATCGGCACTCTTATTCTGCATTTTCCCAGCTATTCCTTTTATTTATTTTTGTTTTGTTTTGTCTTTGAGGCAGGGTCTCATTACGAGTCCAGGCTGGCCTCGAACTCATGGTGATGCTCTTGCCTCAGCCTACCGAGTGCTGGGATCAAAGGTGTGCACCACCAAGCCTGGCTTCCCAGCTACTCTTGCTTTTTTTATTTTTCATATAAACTCTGTATTATATTTTCATTTATTCAAATGTATTTTTAAAACAGCTCCTGAGCAAGTGAATAATGTGTTCTATTTTTACTGGTCAATGTGCCAATTATCAAATTGTTGCTTCAGAGATGAAAACGTGAGTTTCATTACCTACTCTGTGATAACAGAATCTCGGACTATTTGTAAGTATTTTTTTTTAACAGTGAGTGTGACGCTTAGTTTGTTCATAAGAAGGAACTGGAGAAACAGTATAGGAAAAGGCAGCTTCTCGCCTGGTGCACACCCGTAATCCCAGCGCTGAGGAGACTGAAGCAGGAGGTTCTCCATGAGTTTAAGGCCAGTATGGGCTGTATACCATGGGTTTAAGGCCAGCCTGAACTCAGACTCTCAAAAAAAGGGCTAGCGACGTAGCTCACTGGTAGAAGGCTTGCCTAACAAGTTCCTGGATTTAATCTGTAGTACAACCAATAAAAAGGGAAGAAAAACCTTTTTACTCCCAACTATTTACATAAACCAAGTTTCTGAGATATACAAAATCAAGACAATGTAACTGATCCAGAATCCAATTTTGTTTTAGTAATAAGAAAGGATATCTGAAGTATTTTTTAAAATCCTCTTGAAGACATATGATAGGGTGTCAACGAAAAAATTGTAAGGGTCTGGAAATAGCTCAGTAGTAGTGCTGTGTAAGGCCATGGGTTTGAGGCCCAGTACAGAAGCAAAGAACAAAACAATCTCAAAAAATAAAAATGTAACATATAAGTATGGGAAAAAAGTACGGAAAATGCAGTGGTTAACTATGAATTATAAAATTCATAGTTAACCACTGCATTAGCTTTGTGTGAAGCACTAGGTTAAAGATTTTTTTTCTCAATTAGACTGTATATCAATCTTAAGTGTCAGCAATTTTTATGCTTATTTATAAACAAGTGTCTAAAGCTCAGGAAGGTTAAATAACTTCCTGTTTGTTACACAAGAGAGTATTGTTAGGCTTCCTCTTGCTAGTAAGAAATAGAGAGAAATCTACTACAAAATCCTTAAGTCTGCAGACTTTTTAAAAAAATGAGACATGAAACTCAGGCCCTTTACTAGTTTAGTGTTTGGAGCTTGGTCTCGGGTTGGGTAAACCTCTGATGGACAAAAACCACATGTGCTGTGACTGACATTTAGGGCCTAACACAAGTGTCTACTCAAAGTAGTGAGTCTCAATATCCTCATCTAAACCCAGGGAGGACAACAGTACTCACCTTCCAGCGCTGCTGAATACAAGGGTACATTTGAAGAGATAAAAGCATTTACCTGGCAGAGTAAACTCAATTAAAAACGACTAAAAATGCATTAAAATATCCTTGCACATAAACACCTAGCCACCTGATCAATTAATTCATTAGGATAAATTCCTGAAAGTTTAATAAGTGGCTCAGAGTACACGAGCACTTGAAGAAGGCAACTGTATTTTTCCTAACAATTTTTCAAAAAGTGAACCCAGTTTACATTAGAGAAGGAGCTCACCTTTTGGGGCGAGGGAGGCCCATGGGAGTAAGATTGGGGTCTGGTTTAGGAATGGTTTTCCGGATGCGAATTTGTGAGACTTTTTTTGGCCTCTTCTCTGGCTCAGCCTGTTTTTAAGGGTTAAAAAGAAAGATGGTCAAGGTATCAGCCATGTTAAATCAAGTCCCTTCTCACATGACATGAAATCAAGGCGCTCTCTCAGTTCACACAGAGCTCTAACAAACACGGGTGGGACTCCCAGCCCTGCAAAGACAGGACGCACTTATTTGGCTGCCGCTTGGGCTCTGCTCTTGGCGCAGTGAGCAGCACATGAGTTTCACCGTCTAATCAACAGCGACGGCAGAGTCCTCGTTCTTATCCCTGTTTTCAGCAACTACCTGCTCCATATTACTAAAGGAGAATTATACATTCGGTTCAGACCCTGAGATCATTAGTAGGAAAGTCTGTAACTTGTGGAGACAGCGGATGTTGCAAAACTGAAAAATATCATCGTTCACTCATCTTTGAACGTACAAAGCTGCTCTTTGGTCCAAGTGTCTATAAACGTTGTTAAATGCAGTCACCAGGAAAAAAAGGACATGGAAAACACAGATTAAAAAATTCAAGGTGGGCATCGTGGCATCCACCTACATTCCCAGCTACCTGGGAGGTCAAGGTAGGAGGATCTTGATCCCAGGAGTTTCAGGCAAGCCTGGATAACGTAGGGAGATACCATCCCTAAAAACAAACTAAAAAGCCAAGAAATCCAATGCATCCTTTGTGCTATGCACAAATACTCCTAACTTACTACGTTTCAGCACTGAGCTGATGCTAAAGGTAATCAGTAGAGACTCAGGGGGCAGCCTGTACCTGTCATGTGATGTGAGTCAATGGCGGAGACACCAATGCCAGTCATCTGACTCCACTGGTGCAGTACTTCACATTTACCTCTTTCTGTTCTGGAGGGCTGCTCTGTGGTCGGGGGCATGCTGCTGTCACACCATCCAGTTCATCAAACCCAGGAACTTGGAATTCAGAAGCTGAACACAGGAGCTGGCCGACAGCTGGCTCTGTTACCAAGCAAGACTTTGGTACCAAGGAAGGGAATGCAGGCTCCAGTCTAGGGCCATGGAGAAAAAGGAAGACAACATGAGAGCAATTTGCTTTCTACCTCTGGCACATTCTAACCATGCAGACTAGAGGTAAAGATGTCTTTCTTTCTAGCAAGGATATCTTGAATCAACCTGTTTTGTAGTCATTTCTTTTTTTTTTTTTTTTGTCTTTTTGAGACAGGGTCTCATTATGCAGTTCAGGCTGCCCTTGAGCTCACTTTGTAACCCAGGCTGGTCTCAAACTTACAATGATCCTCCTGCCTTGGCCTCTGGAATGCTGGGATTACAGGTGTGTGCCACCATGCCCGGTTCCTAGTCACTTCATTTCTTTTCTTTTTGGTTATTGTTTTTCTAGTCATTTCTGGACATAGCCTGGGTCTACATATGTAAAAAAATTACAAGAACGTGGTCATTTCATTTCATTGGTATAAAGAAGTTATATAAGGAAAAATGTGAAAAGGAACAAGTTTTGAGAGAAATGGACATTTGGTGAACTGAACAAATGAACAGTGCTCAGATGAGATTGATCCAATGCAGGGACTGAAGGTGGGTAAGTGGCAAAACACAAAACAGTTTAAGAGTGGTCTTCAGGTACGAAAGACTAATGATTTTCAATTTGTTTGTTTAAATAAATGGTACTGATTGCACATCTCTAGTCCCTACCTGTAATACAGCATACCTAAATCTCAGAGATGTGAGAGATACAGATCAGGCGTACAGGGACAGAAGGCCAGAGTTGTGCCATGCCCCACCCACACCATCTGTGACTGCCTGAGCATGCTCTTGTGCTCTCACCACCCACTCTTTCTGAGCCCTCCTGTGCCAGAGGCTTACCTCATCTGACTGCCACTGGTGCTGTATGTAGCTTCCAAGCCCGGAAGAGGCACATATGGTAACACGGTGTGGCTGAAGTTAAGCAAAAGTACAAAAGCAGCAGTTATGATAGGATGACAAGAAAGGACCTGATGCAATTGTAGGTATCAGCACATGATAGAGTTCTAGTAAGGGTGAAAACCTCCTAGCTGTGGGAAATATGCTCACGTGTCCATCACTAGAAGGGAAGTATGCTGACAAGAAGATTATTTCCCAATTTTTGTTTTGTTTTGAGACAAGGTCTCACTATGTGGAGAGGGCTGGCCTCCAAGTCACAGCAATCCTCCTGTCCCAGCCTCTCGAGTGCTGGGGATGACAAGTGTGTGCCACCATGTCTGGCTGATTACTTCCTAATTTAAATGGAAGAACATGGGAAAGAGAAATAAGGAGAGGACAGTAAGAGAAAAGAGGACAATGGAAATGATTTTGGGCCTTGTATCATTTCATAAAGTTGCTGAACATGTACACGGAAGACTTTTTTAAATTTAAAAGAACACTTACATTCTTCTTCTTATTATTATTATTTTTTTTAAGACAGGGTCTCACTATGTAATTCAGGCTGGTCTTGAGCTCACTATGTAGCCCAGGCTGGCCTCGAACTTGCTCACAGTAATCCTCCTGCCTCGGCCTCCCAAGTGCTGGGATTACAGGTGTGTGCAACCACATCTGACTACACCTTGCATTATTGAACAATATATTAATTTGAAATAAAAACTGCCATTTTCTATAATCTTACAAATATTGTAGACAAACATTTTCTTTCTTTTTTTTTTTCCTGGCACTGGGAATCGAACTCATGATCTCATGCTTGCCAGGCAGGCGCTGTGCCACTGAGCTAAATCCCCAGCCCCTAAGAAACATTTTCTTTAAAGCCAAGCTGTACATAAAATAATGGCTATGTAGAAGAAAACTGTTAAGAATCAAATCTTTAAAAAAAGAAAGAGCTGATTCCTTTATAATTAAATTCCATATTTATAGCTGCAACAAGAGTACTAACCACATACAGATGCAATCATATGCAATGGTGTAGAGATTTTTGTGTCTCTCAAAGCAAAACCAGGATTACATTCTACTGACTTTGGAACATGGCACAGGATTCCAGAGACATTTTGTTTTGTTGTCTTTTTGAGACAGTCTCATGATGCAGTTCATCCTGGCCTTGGACTCACTTTGTAGCCCAGGCTCACCTAGAACTTGCAGTGATCCTCCTGCCTCAGCCTCCCGAGTGTTGGGATTACAGGCGTGCACCACCACACCGGGCTCCAGAGAACTTAACAAGTTAAGAAAAAGAGATAATTTAGGGTTCTAGAATAATGTCTAGTACCAACTCAGGTTTCCTTGAAGACACATGGATTAAAGAAAAGAAAAGCGGAATGGAATACTGGATAAAATGCTGACCAAATCAGCAGCCCTTGGTCCTGGTATCCAGTTCAATGGACAATTCCAATAGCTTCCACAGCTGTCATGAGCCTCAGTCTCAGCACTGATAAAAAACACAAAAAAAGATGTCTGTCCAATCTGTATTATAGAGTGCTAAAGAATAAGGTTTAAATGAGAAAATTTGACAGAAACATAGTTTAAACTGAGCATGGCAGTACACACCTGTAATTACAGCACTTAGGAGACTGAGGCAGGAGGACTGTTTTGAGTTTGAGGCCAGCTTGGGCTACATAATGAATTCAAAGTCTGGACTATATAGCAAGACCCTCTCTCAAAAAAAAAAAAAAAAAAAAAAAAAAAATCTATCTTTAGGAATTTTGTCTGAGTCCAGGCATTCTTAGAGCCACTCTTAAAGCTAAACACCACCCCTCAGTCTTCTACTTGACTTAAATAAAATCAAAAATCAAATGAAAAGCTAAATACAAGAAACAGGGTAGCCAGGGATATAGCTCAGCAGCACAAGCACCTGCCTAGCAAGCACAAGGTCCTGAGTTCGATTCCTGATACAAAAAAAAAAAAAAGAAAGAAACAGGGTAGAGAGAAAACTCAGAAACAAAAGTCAGATGAGTAAGAATGCAAGAAAAACAGTAAGGGCTAACGGTCATACTTTCACAGGGTAAAATGGATAACTTCCTGAGTAAAAGCCTCAGGAACAAACACATTAAAGGAAAATAAAAGTTTAAAGCTGTTTGCCACACAGAGCAGAGAGCAATTATGAGATTTAGAGGCAGACCAACAAATCAGAAAATAAGATCACTATGCCACCAATGAAAACAATGTGATTCGTTCTAATGTACTTTTATGGTGGCATTGTAAGAAGTGATTATTTTTCTATTTTCTATAGGACAAGTGCTTATAATAGTAATTCATCTTTCCTTTTCTTTTTTTTTTTTTTCATCTTTCCTTTTCAATCAGCAATGTTTATTGTAGAGTTCGGCAGTGTTTTTCCAAAACTCTTATTTATTTAGCTCTCTGTTAAAATACTCAGGCAACTGTACAACATGCAACCCTTGTCCCATACTGGGGATTGAATCCAGAGCCTTTGCTACATACCCAGCCCATTTTAATTTTAAGATAGGATTTTGCTAAGTTGCTAAATTTCCGGGCGGGGCTTGTACTTATGCTCCTCTTGTCTTAGCCTCCCAGAGCGCTGAGATTACAGGTGTATACTACCATGCCTGCCTACCAGCAGCTTTTTTTTTTTTTTTTGGTAGTGGGAATCGAACTCATGAACTTAGGCTTGCCAGGCAAGCGCTTATGCCACTGAGCCCTACCAGCAGCTTTTTAATGACACAGAGTGATTCTGCACAAGAAACTGCCCAGATGTGCAAAAACAAAACAAAACAAAACAAAACAAAGCCTTTTCAGGCTATTGTGGAATATTAGTTTTGTTGCTATTATTTTGATGCAGCTTAATTTTTTCAACTACAGTAAAGTAAGGCCAAATTAAAAAACTACAAAGTTTCTGCTCATCTAAAGCATTACAACTAGGAGGATTTATTTAGTTCTAAAGCAGTTTGTCATGGGTTGTTTCTCTTTTTGGTGTTGGGGATTGAAGCTAGGGCCTTGCACATGCAAAGCATATATTCTATGACAAACTATAACGCCAGCCTTCTCCTCCCACAAAGATTCTTAAGACGGGTAGGTTGTTTTTTTTTAAACAGGCTCTCATTATGTAGTTAAGGGCTGACCTTGAACTCACGGTGAGCCTCCTGCCTCAGTTTCCTGAGTGGTGGGATTACAGGAGTGCACCACCGTGCCCTGTAGGATGGGTAGTTTCAACTCAAGAGTTCTTCAATCAGAAGGTATAGTGATATTGATGCAATTTTTTTCAACTATTCTCAGTGGTCAAGCAACAAGAATCCCTGCCCATTTTACTTTATATTCCATAAATACTAAAACTAAAGTATGAAAATGCCAAATTTTTTTCCTGCTATGAAGGTGTTTTGTTTTTTTCAGATTTTTTTTATTAGTGTATGTTTGTGATACATAATGAGTATGTTCACTGTGGGGAGCTGATACATACACATATAATATCTTAGTCCTTTTTAGCTCCCCTTCCCCTGCCCTCCCTGCGCTCTATCCTGAAATCCCCTTTCCATTTGCAAAAGGTCTACCTTCCTGTTTTTTATTTTGCTCTTCAAATTAGTCGTACTTTGGGCTAGGCATGGCACTTGCTTGTAATCTCAGCACTCAGGAGACTTAGGGAGGAGGATTGCTGTGAGTTTGAGGCCAGCCTGGGCTACACAGTGAGATCCTGTCACACACACACAAAAAAAAACACCTAAATAAATAAATAAATAAATCATACTTTGGGTTTCTCATATAAATTATGTGATATTTAACTTTCTATGTCCGATTTATTTCACTTAGCATTATGGTTTCAAGATGCATCCATTTTTCTACAAATGACTCATATTTATGTCTTTATAGCTGAGCAGTACAGTATACCTTTATGTGTGTGTATATATACACATATATATATATCTCATCACTTTTTCTTGATCTATTCATCTGTTGATTGATATATAGCTCATTTCCAAGATTTAGCTATCATGAGTTGTACTACTATAAACAAGGGTATGTGTGTATCACTGTAACATGATGTCTTTAACTCTTGGGAAAATATGCAGAGGAGTATTATGGGATCAAGTGGAGTACTTTTAGTATTTTGAGGGCTCTCCACACTAATTTCACAGTGGTTGTACTAGTTTACATTTCCACCTTTTTCCCTACAACCTCACTGGCATTTGTTGTTGAGTCTGTAATGGTAGCCATTCTTTCTGGACTAAGATGGAAACTCAGGGTTGTTTTATACATATTTCTTTAATGCAAATGCCAATTTCTGAAGCCTCTATATTGCAGAAAAATGTAGAGATTCATAATCTAGAAGTGGTGATACCTAATTCATTCATTCACTAAGAAAGTATTTATTCTGTATCCTTTATACACCAAACACTAAGTGAGGGGCTACTGTATAATGTTACATGAAACAGTTACAATTACAAGCCACTGACACTATTTTGCTTGTAGGGTATTTATTACCAAGGTCGGAGCAAAAGGATACAGGAAGAGATTCAAAAGTTTCAACGGGGCAACCCATTTCAGGGCTCCTCCTGTCTCTCAGGAGCTAGTCCTGTTCTCCACTCCCCATTCTTATTCCCCATTCCCTATTCTTTTTCTCCAATAAACTTTCCTACTCTTTAAAAAAAAAGTTTCAATGGTGTGTCAGGTAGGGTGGGCCATGCTTTGTAATGCCAGCTACTCCAAAGGCTCAGGCAGGTGGATCACAAGTTTGAGGCCAGTGTGGCCAACTTAGTGACACTCTCTTTCAAAATAAAATAAAAACAGGCAGTGTAATAGCACTTGCATAGCATTAGCATTTTTCTGCAAGAAAAAAAGAAAAAAAAAAGATGACTTGAAGAATAAAATGGACAGAAAAAAATATGTTGAAATACAATAGATTTAGCAGAAAAATATAGGCATCTACACTTAAGAATTACTATGGCATTGTCTCAGTGTAAATAACAAGGGCAGACAGAAAGATGACTCTAAAGAGCCTCATGTTTCCAATAGCGCTCTTTCCTCTCCCCGGTGGCAGGAAGAAAACATGCAAGGAACAGAAGATAGATTTTACCTGCTTGTGGTACTCAGACTCGGCGGCTGCTTGCTGTGAATGGAATGAAGAGCAGAGATTTCGAAGGAACAGGAGGAAGGCCCATGCTGGCTCCAAATAGACAGCACTCTGCCCACTGAGTAGGGCAGAGAACAGAAGATCTTGTTTGCTATGGAAGCTGGAGACCTTAACCCTTTTAAGCCCTGTGTAAACTGGGCCATGAAGAACCTCTGCATGGTCGGCATGTGGCTGGAGAAGCTCCGTTTCTTTGTCCAGATTCGGTAACATCCTGGGGAACAAAGTGCTAGAAGCGTGTGAAGGCCAAGGACAGAGCAGTTTGCTCTGCTCGGGACTATGGAGGTGCCTCCACAGTCTTGGAGAGGAGCTGGAGTCTGCTGAGGAGCCTGAGTGTGCGCCTGACTACGGAGGCCAGTGTCTTCCCTGAATGTGGCCATCCCAGGGCAACTATGCGACAAAAAGAAAGAAAAGGTCCACTTGGGTGGTTGAGATGGGCACTGGGAGGCCTCTTCTAAGGCAAGCCTTGCTGGAGCACAGTGCTCAGGAAAAGTCCTTGAGAACTCGGTCATGCAGTCAGAGGCTAATTTCACATGAAAGGAAACTGGCAAGATTTCAGAACCAAAAAGCAGTGATGGCATCTTGTTGCTCAACTCTATGAAGCTCATCTTGATGGCTTCAGGAGAATAAAGTGTCAAGGCCTTATTGTTAGGCCTCTTACCCCATCCTCTAGCTGCCAAATATGGATCCAGCTGCATTGCATTATAGGAAAATCCATCCAGGAGTCTTTTATATCTGAGGCGCTTGTAGCTTTTGGCCACTGGAAGAAGTGCAGAGGAACATTGCCGGTATCTGAGTTTCTGGGTTTTTGCGGCCGGAGCTAGTTTGGAGGCAAGGATAGATAGCTTGTTTAATAAGGCTGATTCTTTGGTAGACTTCCTAAAATTCAGGCTCCTCAAAGGATGGCATGCAGCAGTCCTCTGCTTTGGTACGTGGCGAAGCAAGCTCTTGCAAGGTACTGTTTTGGGTTCTAATGGTGCAAGCACAGATGCAGCATGTGAGCTGAGAAGTCTGTGTGCTTTTGTGGGGATGGGATCAGAGGAACTCTTTCCAAAGGCAGAACTTCGGATTTTATTTAATTTCCTCCCTGTGCTGACTGGCTCCTGACAAGAAACTCTCTTACATGTTCGATTGGGCTGCTTCTTTAAGGGAGGCATTCCTTTCTGATGGCAAGTATTCCCAAAGGCACCATGTACTGGATTGCACCCAGCAGAGTTGGGGTCTTGTGCTTTCTGAGGAGCACCAGGAAGGCAAGGAACTGTGCACAACTCAATGTCCTTTAACGGACGACGAAAGCTTTCCCCCTTTGGGTCTTCCATCCTCTGAACTGGTTCAGCAATGTTGCCCTTGGCTGGTTTTGCTGGGGTGATTTCTTTCATCATGGTGGACTCATATCCATCAGCCTTTGTTTGGAGCTTCGTTTGCACTTCATCTGACAGCGTAATAGATGGTCTGTATTGTTCCAATGTCATCTGTGTTCCTTTTTGACACACGTGGTCCTCTTCCTTCAGCAACACACAGTTCAAAATGTTCTGGCTTTGTGGTTTTTCAGGGTCACCATGCCTTCCCTGGCATCTCAGGAAGGTCTGAGAGGTCTTGCTCGAATGATAACCCTCACTTCCTTTTGTGGCAATCATCCCCTCAGGTTCTTCCTCAACAGTTAAATGATTTAGGCGTTCACTCTGATGTCCTTCGGCTTCTTCTCCATTTGCTGTAGTTGCTGCTTCCATTATCAAAGGCAAGTGTGTATCAGAGGAATTCTGATGAGGGTGACAAGCTTTGCAAACATTCTTTTTCACACTGACGTACCCTCCACTAGGATTATTCATATCCCTTGGCACTTCTACCTTCATCTTAGGCAGCGCTGTGCAGTCCTTTATATTTTCACGAAGCACTTCACCACCCTTCGGGTTGGACAGAGTTTTCAGGTAAGTTTCTTCACTATTAATAACAGTTTCTAGATTTTCTTGAGAAGACAAACACAAAGGCATTATTTCAGTGGATTCAAGTGTCCCTGATGGAACAGAGTTCTCCCCTTGACATCTAGAAGACACTGAGTCTTCTGAGGATATTCCAAGGGCTTGTTCCTTGCCAAACTCGGAATTTATTTCTTCTAGTTTTGATCCTTCAGTTCCTTGTGTTCCTCTCAGAGATGTGCCTTTATCTTGGTGTTCATGATGAATATAATTTAAAGACACACTGACTTTGTCCATTATGCTTGTATTTGGTTCATGATCTGCAACAGACTCCATCTCATGGGCACAAGAGTCTAGACATTCTCCCATTTCACAGTCTTTTAAAGACTTGTATACTTTCTCTTCACTTGGTTTTTTTATTTCAAGAGATTCCATTGTAGAATTAGCAGCATTTAAGAGATCTGAGTCCTGGCTGATTTTTCCTGTAAGTCCAGCATTTATTGCACCTCTCTGAGTTGAGGTACTCCTTAAGGTTTTGTGAAATGGCAGTCTATCTTGCCATGCACTACAATCAAGTGTACTAGATACTTTCATGCCTAGCACTCCTTCTGTAGGCTTTTTACTACGGTCTGCACAGACAATGTTTATCATATCATCTGTAAATTCTTCAGAACCAGAAATATCTTCAACATCTCCTTTGGAATCACCTTTCTTTGGACTTCCACAAGACACTATGTTATTACTGCCTAAACTGACTCTTAGGTCCTTTTCATTGTGAGTTACCCCTCTTTTGGGCTCTGTGAAGGTCTTTCTCTGGTCACTATCTCGTGTCTCCTTAGCTAGTTTATCGTAACTTCTACATTGATCTGGTCTGTTTTGGTTACTCTGGCAGCCAAGGACTTCATCTGCCTTCTGATCAAGCGTTTCAACTCCTTGGTTCATGTTTTTAAAACTGGAGAACACAAGGGTAGAAGACAATGTTTCAGGACTTGGAATGTTTGCAAATCGGTTTAGTTTTTGAGGAGAACAATCAGAGATGTTACATTTACAAAACACAGTTTCTTTGGGTATATCCAGCTCCTTTCTATCTAGCCGTTCCTCATTGGGTTCAATGCAACCAGTGATGTGAGTGGCTGTATCTGAAGCTCTACTATCTGAAATACCAGCTGTCACTTCATTTCTGATCATACCTTCTGTACAGCTGCTTTCAGTTTTTCTCCCCTCAAGTTTGCTCTCCTGTGATGTACAACTACTTTCCATGAACTCTTCTGTTATTCTGGAGTGGTGGCCACTATGTTGAAATGCATTTTCATGTTTTATTCCTGAAGAGTCACTGACTTTCAGGATGATTTTGCTGGGCTCAGAAGCAACACAAGCAGAACACAAGTTCTCTCCTGGTGCATTTTTTCTTACACAGTGACAGCTGGAGATATCCTGAGACTGAACATTCTGACATCCTGTGACTGCAACTTCTGAAGGAAAGCCAACTCCTTCTGTCACACCAGAGAGGAAACTAGAATGCAAATCTGTTCCTGAATCGGTCATTTCTTGCTTTCTTTCTACGTTTCCTGGTGTGGCGTTTGGAGTGCGACTGTTTGAAGAGGCATCACAGGTTATGTCACCTAGTGGAGGGATGTCTTTCACTTGTGTCTCAGTGGGAATGGTTTGGGTATCAGCAAGGACATCTGCTCCATTTTCTGATGGAGGATGATGGCTCTGTTGGGCATTTTTGCTTGTTGTTAAAGGCATTTCTCTGTTTCTATGTAGTAAGGAATCAGTTGGCAACTTCACGTGATCTTGAGAATTAAGGGACACTTGATTTAAAACACATTTACATTCTACTTTGTTTACAATCAGTTCATTGGTACAAGAAAGTTCACCCATCTCATGGGCAATTTTCTGTTCATCTAAACATGGAATATTATCCAGTGACGTCTCCATAGCTTTTCCTGACTCAGATCTGTAATTCAATTCCAGAGATGGTGGTAACTGAGCAGTATCTTTCTCAGATTTTGATACTTCTTTAGACATAGAACATATCCGATCTTCTGGCATTAAACTAACAAGGAATTTTCTTTTGGACAGAAAATCATTACATGATGATTCATTTAACTGAGTATCACCTTCCAGATTTCTCTGGAAGCTGACTACGGAGTTAGAATCCTTATTGTAAATCTTTTCATTTACTGTACTGGGCTCTAAAGTGTTTGTCTGTTCTGGCTCGTCAATCTGCACCAAGGAGGAAAAGCTGCTTTCTTCTGAGTGTCTGCTGAGATGGTTCATATTAGTAACAGTTTCTTTATGGTCCTCAGGGTCTGTCAACTTACCTTGCATGTCTAAAGTGATTTTCAAATCATCTTTTTTAAACATTATTCCCATGGCTTCAGTTAAAGAATTGGACATTAAAGAACTAGAGCTCTCTGTATGGTTATTGCCTTGAATGTAATTGTTATGAGGGACATTTCCTTCCAGGGAATCAACAGTTTCTTTTTCACCAGAACAATAACCATTGGAATCCTTTTCTAGTTGTCTGGCATTCATAAAGCAGAGTTCTGTCCTTTCACTCCTGTGATTCAAAGACTGTTCTTCATTTTCTTCTCTGGAAGCCAAGTTCTTGCTTAGACCATCCTTAGCAAAACAGGAATTGTCTGTGTTTTCATCAGATCTCTTCATCAAACCACTTTTAAAACTACACTTTCCTAAGGATGTTGTTCTGGATTCTGGATCAGACAAACTTGGTATGAGATATAAAATTTTAGAATTTTCCTCCAAGGTTTTTATGGCATGCACATTTCCCGTGGCTGTGGAAGTGTCCAATGTAGAACTGTGTTTTCCAGTAGGGTGGCTAAGAATCTGTGGGGGATTGTCATCTGCTGCACAGGCCGGGTTTAATTTACACAACTCTTCTTTCTCATTGTCCATTTTGGAAATGGCACTGTTCTCCGGTAATAATGACAAATGAGAAGGACAAGTTTGTAATTCTCCACATTCTTTTTCTTTAGGAGTTGTCTCTGTCAATCCAGGATCCACAAAAGTTAAAGGCTCCATGGGAACTAATGTTCTGGTTTCTGAAATGTTGCCGCTGTTCGTGATTTCTTCTACTTCTGGGTATTCGCTGGACCCAGCTAAGAGCTCTTTACTCATATTGCCACTTGTGTGTCCTTCATTATTATGATCCATCTTAGTCCCACTGACCTTCATACCTTGAGCATCTTCAGGGGATTTTGGTAGAATTTCAGTTGTAAACTGTACAATTCCTTCTACACAAAAGAAATAAATCCAAATCAGTACATAATCATAAAAACTGCTCTACCTTCATGAATTTTATCATGCAACCAATGCCATCAACAAAAAAGATCTGACTCAGAAAAAGAATCACAGACTCCTAAAGATGGCAGACTAGAGGTAACCTTCATTCACAAGCCGCTCTAAACTCTAAAATATTCATCCAAACCAACAGGTACGTGGCTCTGTGAGGAGACAGAGAATCACGGGCAATTGTCAGACTACAACTTGAATAAGCTAGCAACCAGGTGAAACTCAGAAATATTTATATTTAGAAAGCTAAGTAACAAAAATAATGAATACCAACCTTGAATGAATGGTAGCTCAGTGGGAGAGGGGAAATTCTCTCCCCTTCACGGTAAAAGAAAAACCTCACTATACTCTTGTGACTACTGATCTTGCTATTGGACAGAGATAAAACCTTAAGAGAAACAAGACCCACGTTCAGCCAATGAGCAGGGGCAGGAATGATAATCCCTAGCATTTCTATACAGATTTAGACAGAGGCAGACTGGGAGAACAGAAAACCCACATTTTTATATCTCCAGGATGTCAACAGCCACTTTGCTCCAAGGTGGCAATGGGTATCAACCCTAATAGCTTGGGCCTGCGAGAATGGTGACGTGAAACAGAAAAGTTAGAATCATAGGATGGGAGAAATGCCCCAGTACCTTGCTCGAGGGAGACTAAACTCTAGGCTGGAAAAGTCTCAGAGTGGTGGACAGATACTGTGAGGCAATCAACACAATCACCCAGGTGGAGGGAAATGCAAAAAGGCAAGGGGCTGAAACAAACAACAGGGAGTGGAATACTGGCAGCGGGAAAGACCTCTGTCATGTGAGGTTTTGCAGTGGGAGGGGTTATAAGTCTAGGAACACCATGAGACCAGCAGACGGGAGAGCACCACGGCTCCTCACCTTAGCATGGACCCTACATGCCCAATTCCCTCCATTCTGTTGGGAGGCATTCAGAGTAAACATGGCAAAGTATAGACAATGATGAACTATGCGACCAAGACCACGATCTGATAAAAAGCTTTGGCCCATAGTCCAAACCTGTCCATGCACCACACCAGTAAGACAGCTGGTGGGAAGCTTGCATTTTTCCAATGCCCTCGTTGGATATGGAGTAGACTGAGTTGGTAGGCACGGGTTAGTCTCACTAAGGCAGATCTGCACAAATGCTCATCTACAACCCCAAAAGGGCAAAGCTCAGCCTCTAGACTGTCCTAGATGGCTTCTCCTAATTGAATAGAGGTGGAGAAAGAGAATTGTGAACGAGGAAAGATGTTCACACACCCCTAGCCTGCTTATCTATCAGGTAGTGTTCACGATGAAGTTGAGGGGAAATAACCCTCACATGAGAAGGAGTATCAGACGTTGTTTTGTGTGCATGTGTGTTAGTTTCTGCTTTTGCTTCCACAGGGTCTTACCTTGTTTTGTCATTCCCCCCATACCAAAGCTTGTCTCTTAGCGTTTTTAAACTTTGTGTTTCTACTAGTTCATTAACTAGATTCAAGCTTCCTGTACTTTCTTGCACTTTCCATCTATATTCCCTTGTTCATTTGTTCTTTCTTCCCCCTCTCATCGCCCCTCCCTTACCCTTTCTTTTATTGTATGTAAATATTATCATTAAAGTCTATTTTTTTTCTTTTTTCCTAGTCTGTTCTATATTATTATTCTCCTTTTCTTTTCCTGCATTACTGAAGTAGTAGGGAACTTTAAAAACATTTTAAATCATATGTTGATAGTTGATGTACGCTTGGTTCTTTCGATGTCAGCATTAGTAGTAGCATTCGCTCCCTGCAAGATCCCCACACGGCAGTGGGAGAGATGTGCATCCACACTGATGTGCAGACTTCAACACAAAAGCACATGGATCACGACAGAAGGAAGGCAACAAGAGCCTCCAAAAACTGCTACAAAAATGGATACAATTTACAGACAAAGAATTTTTTTAAAAACCTAGTAATTGAAATAGTTGATGAGATTAAAGAAGATACAAGTCAGCATCTAAATAAACTAAGGAAGATAACACAGGATACGTAAGAAAACTTCAGGAAAGAGAAGTTCTGAAAAATAAACAGAAATCCTGGAAATGAAATGCTCAGTCAGTCAAATGAAAAACTCAACTGGAAGTCTTGGGCAATAGATAAGATGAATCAGAAGAAAGAGATAATCAGGACTGGAATACAAGGTAGATGTACTAGAATATTTAGATAGTAATAAAAAAAAAAGAATAAAAAGTAGCAAAAAGATTATACAAGAACTCATACAGGATGGGGATAAAGCTCAGGGGCACAGCACCTGCCTGGCAAGTGCAAGGTCCTGAGTTCAATTCCTGGTACAAACAAAAACAACAACAACAAGAACAACTCAGAGATAACTCTAAAAGAATAAATATAAGATTCTTTGGTCCCAGCCCATCTGGGGTGACTTAGCAACTTAATATGACCCTGCATCAAAATAAAATACAAACAAGGCCTGAGGACATACCTCAGTGTTAAGGGCCAGAGTTCAATTCCCAGTATGGAAGGAGGGAGTACTTCTTGGTTATGAGGAAGGTGAAGAAACACAGGTTATTGGTACAGAAAACCTATTTATTGAAATTACAGTAGAAGTTTCCCCAAATCTGTGGGAATGAGATAGATACCCAACTACTGCAGGCATTTAGAACACCAAATAGGCATCACCAAAAAACAGCCTCTCCACAACATATCATAATCAAGTTGCCAAAAATTCAGAGGAAAGAATATTACAAGTGGTTAGAAATGCCAAATCACTTAAAACAGCAAACCCTTCAGAGTGACAACAGGTATCTCAACAGAAGCTACTGCTGAGCCCAGGAATGCCTGAAATGATGTATTTCAAGCCCTGAAGAAAAAACTGTCAACCCAGATTACTACATCCCTCAAGCCTATCCTTCAAAATTGTAGGAGAAATAAAGATCTTCCAAGATAACTACAAATTAAAGAAATTCATGACCACTAAGACAGCACTGCAGAAAAGTACTTAAAGGAATCCTAAACACACAGGAAGAGGACAATGACAACCACACCACAGGACTGAGGACAAGAATAAATGTCACTGGAAGAGTAGATAAATGAAAAAAATTAGGAATGAATCAAACATTAGAAAAACAACAAAATGACAGGAATTAGTACATACCTCTCAATAATAACACTGAATGTAAGTGGTCTTAATTCTCCAATTAAAAGCCACAGACTGGCAGATTGGATCAAAAAGCAAGACTCAACTATATGGTGCCTACAAGAAACACACCTCACCTGCAAAGATATACACAAAATTAAAGTGAAAGTATGGAAAATGATTCTCCAAGCACCTGGAGCCTCAAATCAATGAGTAGCTATGCTTATATCTGACAAAGTGGACTTCAAACTAAATTAGAAGAGACAAAGGCCACTACATATTGAAAAAGCAATATTCCCATGGAAAGATAAAAACTGAAAATGTACTGAATATGTACCAGATATTGGTACATCCAATTTCATAAAAAAAACACTCCTTTACATAAAAATTCAGACATCCCAATACATACTGGGTGATTTCAATACTCTGCTCTCACAAATGAATAGGTCTAGTAGACCTCCCCCCAAAAAGCAAAGCAAAGAAACATCAGAGTTAAATTACAGGATAGAGTAAATGGAGTTTGAATAAACACAGAAAGTCTGTTCCACAAAGCAGAAGAATACAAGTTCTTTTTGGCAGCCCACCAAACTTTCTCCAAAATAGATCATATCTTAGGCCATAAAGCAAGCCAATAAATACACAATAACTGAAATAATTTTATATATTCTATTAGATAACAATGGAACAAAGCTAGAAATTAACAGCAAAAGAAACCACAGAACTACACAAACACATGGGGATTAAATAATATATACACTTTTTGAGACAGGGTATCACTATGTGGTTGAGGTTGGCCTCAAACTTGTGATGCTTCTGCCTCAGCCTCCCAAGAGCTGGGATTATCATGCACCACTAGGCCCAGCTTAATAATACTCTTTTTTTGAATGGTCAGTGGTCATTGAAGATATCAAGGGACAAATTTTTAAAACTTCCTAGAATCAAATATTGGAAACACAATATGTGAGAATCTGGGAGATAAAATGAAAATAGTTTTCAAAAGCAAGTTTACAGCTATGAGTATCTACATCAGAAAACAGCAATCCCAAACAACCTAATGTTTCATCTCAAGGTCCTAAAAAAACAAGAATAAACCCAAATCTAGGAAAAATAAAGATCACTGAAGTTAATGAAACATAGTACAACAACCATTGATAATCTTCTACCACTTTTGTCTGAAACTCACTATTATTTGTCTATTTGTTTTCCTGAGAAACTATCTTGTAGATAACAATATGTAAAACAACAACCATTGATAATTTCCTACCACTTTGTCTATAATTCGGTAAGCCCCCCTAGATTTCTACTAGAAATCTAGTAGAAATGGGTAAATGTTATCCTTCTTTTACTCTTTAAAATAATAATAATAAAAAAAGTTAATGAAACAGACTAAAAAAAAAAAAAAATATTAAGGATCAATGAATCAGATTTCTCTGAAAATAACCAAGACTGATAAAGCAAAATCTTACTAAAATAAAGTAAGAAAAGACCCAAAGTAATATACTTAGAGATGAAAAAAGTAAAATTACAACAGATACCACTGAACTTCAGAGGATTATTAAGGCATACTTTAAAAATTTATATTCCAATGAATTAGAAATCTAGTAGAAATGGGTAAATTCCTATCAAAATTGGATATGACCTATCACAATTAAACCAAGAAGATCTAAAAAAATCTAAACAGATCAATAACAATCACAAATTAGAGTGCCATAATGTCAATTTTGTTTTTCTCTGCAAAAATGTGATAGTCAAAAGTATACTTGGAAAAAAAAAAGGCAATCTGAAAAAATGCCTTTCTTCAAATGGTTCTTAGCATTCGCATGTCA